TATTAAATGTTTTTCAATCATTTAAGTTTATTAGTAGAACAAACAATCAAAAGGATTATTTTTATAAATACTTTATTCTTATATTTAATAAATCCTAGGTTTGTAATATTTTTATTGAATGAATACAAAAAGAGAATTGTGTATATGAAATTTAGGAGCTCAAAATTTAAACCAAATATTTTTCCTTTTAACGTACCTGATAGTAAAGTCTAACATAATATACTACATTTTCTCATTAATTATTCCATAGTATTCTTTCTGTTGATATCTAAGCAAACAGTTAAGCTATCGCTTCACATGAACCACTAATTAATCATCTTAATAATTACCTGATTGTCTCTGATTTCATCATATAACATTAAAATCCATCTAAAGTTTTTAATTTTTTGAATAAATCTTTAGATTCCCATTCTGTCGCAATTAGCTGACATCATTTGAAATCATTTTGGTCATTTCTTCATTCTAGTGAGCACTAGATAAAATCACTACACAAAAACGAAAATTATTTTTAGCGGAATACCATGAACTTTTATCAGAATTGTTATTCCAATCAAAAATATTTGCAATTGTCTATAAGAGAAATGATCAAATCCTAATCAATAAAATTTGATTGCTCTCAAATTAATACCTATATTATTTAATTAATATTTAATTCAAATAATACTCAATTCTATAATCCAATAAAATATTTGTATTTATTGTTAAAAAGGGCTGATTTATTCAAAAATTGAGAATTCTTATAAATTATAATCAGAAATATATTTTGTAATATTAATTATATATTATAATATGGATGTTTAAATATTATGAAATATTATAATATTGGATTCTAATTTCTTTTATAAAAATGAAAGTTCTGGTGTTGTATATCTTCATTCAACTTATCTATTAGAATTAATTTGTATACAATTGTGAACAATATTTCTAGTAATTAAGGAGGTGGTTATATTTAGAGGTGAAGTCGAGAAACTTTTATATTAAAGAATCTACAATAATAAATAACTAAGCTTTTGAAGGTGGAAAATATATTTATATGAAGATAGTATCATAAATTATTAGAATTATATAAAATCATTCTTATAATTTAATAAAGCTGAAAGATTTGCAGATAATTTAGTAGAAATTTTAACTCCTTTAACTTTGTTTATTATTTCTTATAAATGTAAAAAGAAGATATTCTAATTAATAACATTACTATAAGAAGTTTGAAGCTTAAACCTTAAAAAAATAAATAAATGAATAATAAAGATTCCCAATATCCCAATAGATAATAGTTAGAACTTCTGGAAGAAAATTGAAATTGCTAGTTTTATAGCCAAAGTATTTAAAAAACAAATACAAAATTATAAACAAGACTTCTAATTATAGTTAAGATCTTAAAGTATTAGATTTAAATAATCAATATTTCTTAATATAATAATACTCTAAAAATATACAGAATTAAGGATAGAACAATAATTTTTAACAAATAATAAAATTCCCAATTAATTAAATTTTGTAAAAAGCTCTCTATTAGAAAATAATATAAGTTTATTGATAAATTTAATTTAAAAATTATCAATAAGAATATATAAATAAGCAAGGTTCAGATAAATTTCCTAAAAAGTTGTAAAGTTGAAATAAACATATATTTAAAACAATGAATAAGATAAAATTTTATAAATTAATTAAAATAATAAAAACTTTATGATAATCTCAATCAATTCACTTTTAATCTATAAATTATTACAAATGAAAATTCTATGCAATTAATTATAAAAATTGACTCTTCATCATTAATTCCTTATAAATTAAAGTTCATAAAATCTAATATTCATTGATTTTAATGATTAATCACTATAAAAGCACAATATGTTAATCTGAACTGTATATTAAAATATTTATGTTTTTTAATAATAACATCATCATAAATTTAAAATTGTTCATATATTAAATTATGAACAATTTTACAAGTTTTATTCTATTCGGATTAAATATAAATTGATTTTATATAAATTTGATAATTTATTAGAATTTATGATTTAATTGAACACATAAATAGAATTCACTATCAAATAATTCTTAAGTAAAAAATTAAAGATTAACTATAATTGCACAAAATATATGATTAATTTAATTATATAATTTGAAGGTTTAACTTTTATGTTATTATAATTCTTATTAATAATTTATAAACATTATTTTAGATTTATAACAATAATAATTATTAATAATTAGTTAATTTTTATTCACCAAAATTATTGTATTTTTCTTTGACACTTTATTGTTTATTCAGATCAAATTTAATAGACCAAAAAAAGATATATTATGTTAAAGATGACTTTATTTATATTCTTCAAATTAAATTTGGTTTGAAAGGAATGAGAACTCATAATTTTTAAGTTTTCACAAGATTAAAAGAGTTTCAAGATGAAGAAAAATATATACAGAGATTTTGCCTAAGGGTCTGTATAAATGGACTTCTCAGATCTTTGGGTAATTCAATTCATAGTCAATATTTCTTTCATAAAAATTTATGCTCTAAATATGAATAAAATTATTATTTGAAATAAACAAAATTAAAAGTTTATTAGATCTTTCGCTAATTTTAAGTTATAATTTTTCAATATTATTGGACATGTTAAAAAAAAGGGTTAGCAATTTGTGATAATAAAATGATGAATTCTGAAAATGATATATCTGACTTTCACACTTATCTAATTAGAAAATAATAGAGATTAAACCATTAGTATATTCCAATGTTATATTCATAGCAAGAATTTAAAATCCATTTTGAAATTCTCATTCTTACAACTTTTTAATTTGAACTTAATCTAAGAAATT